TTACTAGTAGTAACAAGAAGCTATTAGAAATAAGAATTCAATTAGAACCAATAAGCTACTAGGAACAAGTGCATCGCTGCTGGTAACAAGTGCCTTACTAGTAGGAACAAGAAGCTATATATTGGAAATAAGAATTCAATTAGAAACAATAAGCTAGACTCGTCACGTGTGCAATGTCCGGACACGTGGTGATCAATCTGTCCTCCAACACAGGGTCATCGGCCCAATCCTCTTCTTCTTCTCCTGGAATATTTCAAGCAGTTGGACATGGCTTGGGGTGACTACGGCCAAACGGCCAAACAAATCTTTCATGAGTTTGAGACCCATCCGTACCACCTTCTTCAAATCATGCAAAGGATTGGGAATCATCCAGTCTCCTTCGTGATCTCCTGCCCAATTCTCCTCAGCTGCATCCTCAGCAGCACCCACACCAGGGACTTCGGGATCTTCCTTGCCCATCTTGACATCCTCGTGTTCTTCATCCTTCACAACAAACTCATGGAGCAAAGTATAAGTAACATGGTTAGCTCGTACGGTCTTATGGCTGACAGGTGAATCTTGCACCCGCTGGAATGCAGCATGCGCTCTGTCGAGCCAGTTCACAGCAATGTGACCAAAACAGTTAAGTGAGTGGAGAGTTTTAAAACAATTGACTGATGATTTGAAAGCGAAGATCGACAACTCGGCAAGTTCGATGCAATTCATTCTTGATCGTTCAATCACCTATTGCTCAGTCCAAAATACGCTAAACTTACTACACAATGGGATCATCATGCCTGCCATGCTCTTCCCTGTCAATGTCCCAAAGCAAACTGTCGGAAGGCCCTCGGAACGGGCCTTTTGCTGTTCCTTTGCCTTTGCAGCCGGCCCTTCACATGCCTTCTCTTTGAGTCTCACCTATAGAGGCGTTTAACGGTTGTTGCACCCTGGCTTGATGCTGGCACTTCCAAAATCTGTCAAATGCCTATTCGATAGATAGTGGTGCATCCCAATCCAGCAGCCAAGGTGGCAAAAAAACACGGAAAGCCACCGTATATTGTTTTGACTTTGTCCATGTTGGGTGGCCCTTTGCCCGCCCCGTTGTCCAAGCCTCAGTTTGAAGTTGAAAGTCTCGTCCTTAGAGTCTTGGCGAGGTTGCAGCTCAGGGTCAAAATGGGCATGTGGCTTTGGGAATTAGATTTGGAAAGTGGTGGCCGCCAAGGGCTGGTGATCACTTTGTGAATTTGACCGTGGAGCTACTCCACCCCCACAAAGGAGGAACCAAATCCTCCTGGCCTGTAGAGGAGATTGTATGAGATTGTTGGTCCAACCGGTGGTGTCCTTCTCTGCTAGTGCTCCGATGAAACCATGTGACGAGCAAACCACGGAACATGTCCTGAGGTCAGTGGGTCGCGCTCGCTGCGGGTCGCAGCCACGTTGCCACCACGCAGGCCGAGGTCACTTGGGCCACTCGAGCCACTCAAGAAAACATCTCAACCCACAACCCCCCCGGATATTATGTCAATGCAATGACTCAAAGCACATCATCTAGTGAAAGGTTTTGCAGAACCACATGCAAAGGTACCTAATCGTATCCCACAAAGCACCCCAAAGAATATCCACATAAACATGTTACCTCCATAGAAGCAGCGCAACAGCAAAACAAAAAAATATCTACATAACAAAAACAACCCTGGCCAATCATGGTTTGATGCTCTTGCCTTAGCACCCTGAGGGGATCCTTCTTCCACTCCTGCTTCCATATGTCCATAATATATGTTCATATTTAGTGGGGACACCTCACCAATCCCCCCCAAATGTTATCAACTGACATAACTGACTGGCCTTCTCAGGTGGTCCAGCTACTCCACCGTGGTCCAGCTCTGTGCGGACCGCAAACCAGGTAAGTTTGACCTAGCCTATACACGTGACAAGACCCACGGATGCTTGCCTGTATCATCCTGTATCTCTGTTAGCCTTGCTGATTCCGGAGCTTTCTCCACCCCTTAAAGCGCCTTCGAGTGGCGCATCCGCTTCGCAAAGGCCACGCAGCAGCAGCGCGCCAGGTCGCGGTCGAGCTCCGAGGTCCACTCGTCCAGCACCAGCGGCATGGAAGGGTCCTGGCTCCAAGCCGGCAGCTTCGAAGCACGGTGTGGCGAACCAGCACAGTGGCAACACTCGGAGAACCACTGTTCTTGTGTTGCCACACCGTTTCACTGCTTATATAGTGGGTTGAGAGTAGATGGCACAATCTCCAAAAGGTGGGTTTATATGGACCCCTTTATACAAGACATCTTGGGGTTTGTGTCATCTACTCTCAATCCACTGCTATCTGATCTGTTTGAATCTGTTTACTGTTTCACCGAGGTGTCACGGTCGCAGCGGGTTCCGCCACTCGAAGCGTTGGCCCAACCGTTGCCAAGCAAAACGCCCTTCTGGGATCTTCGAGTGTGCCAATCACCAAGGAACCTTGGACACCAATCACAAAAAATATCCAATCCATCATAATCCATCCAAAGCCAATCAAACGGGTTGGCCAGGATGGCCAGGTCTACCCGTTGATCGTCCAGTCCTTGCTACGCTCTTGGAGGGCCAAGGCCAAATTGGCGCGGTACCTGACGAAGGCGCATACAGGTGCCACATCAAGCTGGGGCAAAGGTGGAATCTAGTTTGAGGTTGCTTTTGGGGGGGAACATGGAGATCCCCCCTGACAATAAGTATCTGAATGTTTTTTTGGTCAATCCATCTGAGATCTGTTGAGCGGAATGATCAACCAAATAGTATAGTTCATGTCAATCGCCTTCATCTCTTCATGATTATGCTTCATCATCTCCTATTCCCACCTATATATATATATATGCATATTCCCCATACTTCCCCACCGTCCACCTCACGTCACTTCCGTCACCAAGGGTTGGTGCCTCTCTCCAGTGGAAAGGACCTCAAAGGGCTTGACCCAGCTGGGCACCGATCCCAGGCCGACGCCCGTCAGCCAGTCACGGCCTCTGGGTGCACACCGGCTTCACGAGGTCGGCGGTGTATATGATATAGTTATATATATATGAGCCACGGTCAAAATCAATTATTTATGCTAAGGATGTTTTTGATCGTTATCGGTTTTGGGGGGAGACCTTATCGGTTTTCAGCTTTTTGTTCAACCAGATGCTTTTGGCATTCGCATTTACATTGTGGACGCATGAAGCGGAGCTATCTACTCGCTGAAATCAGAAGCAGTGGATGACGAGCTTCTTCACAGCTCGCGTGTCAGCAGCGGACAAAGGCATTGCGATCTCGAGTGGGTTTGTGAAATTTTGTGTACCTATCTCTAATATTTATCGGCCTTCTGTTCGCTGGGATGTAAAATGCTAACATGTATAGTTCTCAAAAAGAAAGGCTAGACCAATGTCTTCGATAAGGAATTTAGCTGTCTTGTCAGCAGGCTCTGGGCAAGTGGCTATGAAAGCTGAAAACATATCCAGACGGTTATCGGCGAGTTATCGGTTTCGTTATCGGCATAGTGCCCACATAGAATCCGGATGTTTCAAGAAATGGCTGCAGATTAGAAAAATATACAAAAACCGCAACAAACATCTTGATTCCATATCATATGGCTGAAGCCGTGGGGCTTTCATTCGACATGCAACAGGTACTGCAAGGATGTCAGGAATGATAATAAATATCATCATACAATATCATACATAGGTTATCGGTTTTGGGGGGGACCTTATCGGTTTCCAATACATCCTCACCCTAAGCCATTCACATCGACCTCTCCTGACTAAAGTAGTCTACACTTATTTTGACCCCACCTCATATATATACGTATGCATATATGTGTATGCGTATATTACAATATATAAACCAGGCTTGGGTGAGAGAAAATGAGAACAAATGAAACGGTGCTGCAGCTGTCGTGTTTTGTTGAACCCATCGGTATCCATCGGTGATAATTGAAAAATTGCGTTTTGAACAACACAGAGGCAACCGTACCAAGCACATCAAACATTGTCAACCGATCCCACGGTTCACTGGTTTGCCCCCAGCCATGTGGGTCCATCGGTGGAGATCCAGTCTGCGTCCAAACGTGTCAGGTGGCCCAAAGACACTGACCAGGTTTGGACACAAAGGCAACAGTGGCTGTAGCTTGGCCCAACCCCCAATTGCAACAGTCGTTGTAATGGCAACACCAAGCGAAACAGTTCACCCGTAGAGTAGCTGATTGTGAGCTTTGGGGATTTCTTCTTTGGCGGTTTGGCTTGGCTTCCTGCAGCTTCGGCAGTATGGGGACAAGTTCTTGTATCAAATACGATCCTCAAGACGTGGTATGGCACGAGAAGAGAGAAAGATCGAGAAAAGCATTGATTGGAAAAGCTACGGGCCGCATGGCTGCACAGTCCAACAACAACGACGAGCAAACAACTGTTTATTGTAATCACATGGTAGTCACGAGTGTTCACGCTTCATGATGCTCAGCTGATGTTCTGCACGGGTCGCCTCTCTCCGCGTCGTCAAACTGCTCGATCACCGCTTTTCCTTTTGGCCACTCAGCCGATGGATACCTAGTCGACTGCGACCGTTCCACGACCGGAGACGCCACGTGCGGAGGGGGTGAAGCCCACCAAACCGTCTGCAGCCAGGCGGCAAGGGACCGGAGTATTTGGGGAAGTACTTCTTGAGCAGCGTCCGCGCAAGAGTTGACTTTCCACTGCCCGATGGGCCAAGGATCAACAGGCTCCTGCACCGACCCCGTAGATGCCACACCCCAGCCTTGAACCCTGAAAGAACTTGACGCAATCAAATGCCAAACGTCATCCCAAAGATGTGCTTGCCAACCTCTGTCAGTTGCCTTGCCAGGTTGTGTTGTGGATCAGGCGATGTCAACCTTTGACCTGTCACCCCAGGACCAGACTATCTGCACCACACGTGCATCAAATGGATGCCCCCGGTGAAGCAACGCAGTTTGTATAACTTGAAAGACTTGAATCACCAACCAATGCGCTGCTGGTACGTCTCAATGCACTCTGCACAGTCCTGAAGTCTTCTGGAAGACCTTCAGGTAGTTCTCCTAAACCCGGCCAAGCACCAGGAGCTTCTAAACCTTCGTCTTGCCCGGCTTCCACCGTCTGCCTGCGATGCGGTTGAAGACCACCCACTGACCTGTGAATGTATGTTCCACATTACCCAAGGCACACGGAAGTCGTGGCAAACACCGCAGGAAGAACATCTCTCACTCGACAATTATATTCACGTGTATATATATATATATAGTTGTTTTTTCTCCCCCCTCCAGCCTCTGGCCTAAAGGCGCAAAGGCCTAAATGCACATTGCTGTTGCCAACCTATTTGCAGAGCCCAAACCGGTCTGGCTCCGCAGTGAACACCTCCGACCCTCGTTCGCTGCACCTGTGCGTCGTGGCGGGTGCCACAGCCGCCGGCGGCTCCGACATCGGCCGAACCGTGGCGTCCGGCGGCAGAAGCGTGGCCGGCGGTCTCTCAGAGCCTGAGCTGGGTGCAGGGCGGATCCTGTAGAACCCTTAAGTCGCTACAGGATTCGATGGTCTGCAATGAGGTCAGGGTCGCACACCCACATCACATGAACAAAACCAGCAGCCCCATGGCATGAACTTCTATAGGTTGAGGCAGGCTTGAGACAGGCGCACTTTAACCTAAGTTTCGGCTGAGGATGTCATACAAAAGAGGTTGAAAGAGGGCAGTCTTGAAGCTCAAGAGGCTGGACAGCGGTCATATTGTGGAGCAGCATCGCTGGACATATCGCAAGTCGAAAAAAAATGCAAGTCCAAGTAACAACTTCCAGAATCTCCAAGAGGAACAAAATTAGAACACAAATGTCACAAGTGAAAATGAGGATTGACGATATAACCTGACTAAACTCAAGTATAGTGCTAGCTAAGAGACTAAGAAACCAAGGGATCAATGACCGTTGGGTGGAATGCAACGAATGTTCAAGTCCAATCAGTCTTACTCTGCAACCCCAAAAAGGAAGAGAGGCATCATTCACATAGCACATGAACGGTCTTGAACACGCAGCATGTTGCACACTACGGCAAATGTCATTGAGCCATTGGAGACATCATGATGCAACTCAAGCCTCGAAGCATAGACTGTGCTCATACATACTCATACTCATATGGCAAATATACAAAAAAATGTCACAAAGCCATCAAATGCGGCCAAGCATCTTTGGGGAAAGTACACAGTCGGCCGGGCACCCTCTATGCAGTGGCACACATGAGGGGCCTCTGTTTTGCCCTCGGACTCCTGACAAGTGTCCAAGCATTCTTCAACCCCACGCATGGACCTCACTAACCAAATGACAAGCATTAATCATTAATCCCGAGTACCTAGTCCAAAACACTGAGACTGACAGTTTCCAACATTTTGTAGCTACTATCTATTAAGGACCACCCATGTATTCGAGCACTGAACTACACAGAAGGTCCTTTTGGTGGGAGTTTCTTTGATTAGCTACCCACTCACGCCTCACACACATGTGCACCCCTTGAGCCCTTGGAAGGGAGCCAAACAAACGTACTTTCCGAGGCCTCGCAACCGCAGGCCGCACAGAGACATCGCCTTGTCGAAATCATGTTTTTGTTCTTATCAAAATTGGCCTGATCAAACGTTTACAAGCGAAGCATATCGAACAATCATTCATATTTCAATAATGGGATTGCAAAGGTTCCTAAGGAAAGACCCTTCGATCTGGAGATTTACCTAATTTGCGATACGAGTTTCATATAGTTCATAAAAGGATTTCATATCACATGTTCTTACTCTACTTTTCGGCTTTGACGTTCTTCCCGGGTTTCCATCTTTGCCGGTCCCCCTATTTCGAGGACCTCGTATTCACAAACAAATGCAAATCCCAATGTAAAACGCTACGCCACGACGGGGGTCCCGGCATAGTCCTTGCAAAAGAAGTGTGTTTCCCAATGTAAATGCATTGATTCTCACAACTCTTTGATTTACCTCCAAACACTGGAACCTACAGAGTTCTTGTGGGGGGGAGCATATGGCCACATATCAAATCGCATTCTTTGAAATAGTAGTTCCCAATGTAATCGCATCCATGATCTTTAACTCTTTCAACGTGGTTTTGATAGAAAGCTGTGTGAGATTGTATATACCCGGAACCTCCTCAGAGTTTTTCTTTTCTTTTTCTCGATCAGCGGCGTGAAAAACATCTTTCGAGCACAGCCTTATATTTGAGTCTGCAGATCTTTCTCTAAGTTTTTTTTTTTTCTGACATGCCACGGGCGTTTATACACAAGCTACAGGCATTTATTGGTGAGCCAAAGGCGGTTTTCCCGAACGTGTGTTTAACGCGGATGTTTATGTGGTTCACAGACCTAAATAAAGGTATGTTGAACTAACGACCCCCCGCCAAAAAAAACGCAACCACAAAGTTGCAGTGTAAATAGGAGCGAGGTACGGGAACGAGGTATGAACAAGGTGGCTAACGAGGCCTTTTGCAAGGCGTCGGTATAGCTGCGCTGTCATCAATACATGTAATAGTTGCACAAACCTCTGAAACTCTGAAGAAGTGGATTCCAAGTTAAACATTAGCCTGTAACCAAACACACTAATCTTGAACACGTGCACAGCCACGACTTCCACAAGTCATTTCCCAAGCTAAACGCAACAAACAACACAAAGCGCAACGACTTTCACATTTCGGTGTAGATGGAAGGGATTGCAAGCCACGCCTCTTGTGACTCTTGTGCCTTCCTCTCTTCCAACTCCTTCTTGCTGGGCCGGCCAATCTTCGTTCGTTTCATCTTCTTCTTTTTGACCTTCTTGATTTTCTCAGGTCGTGTTCGTGGGCGGCCTCGCTTGCGCTTGACCTGGTGGAAAGCACAAGCGTCCAAGCACCAAGCTAGTTCCATCTATTTCCAGCATTCCCATCACTTTCATCGATGGTGATCATTGAACTTACACGCATGCCATGGTCAATCTTCCCTGCCTGTTCATCAGAGGTGCCTTGCAGAAGCTAGAGCCGCTGAAACACATTTTGTCAACCCGCACTACCAAAATGAATTCCATCGATTCAACCACCTCCATTCAGGAACCTGCCCCCCCTCTTGCAACTTCAAAGAACAAGCTACTAATCAATCATCGTCCACACGTCTTGGCAAAAGTGGTGCACAATTGCAGCTGCCAGCAACATTTGGCATCTTCAGCTCTCATACACTTCTGCCTGCTGGAACAAGCGGTCCGCTTTGAGCTTCCTTCAGAACCTGAGGAATTGTGCGGGACAACCGGGGTCGTCGCCCCGCTGGGAAGAACAGTTCAGTGGCACAATGCCACATCCGGCCACATCAGGCCATGGCCACTTCTGGCCACTTCCCATCATCTGGCCACCGGTCAGGCCGGCCGGCCACCCACCAAAAAAATGTCTATCCTCACAATGCCACAAGTTCGCCGTGCCTCTGGGCCGGCGGGAGCCTTGGCAGCATTTGGTTGCACATTCTTCCAATCATAGCCCATCAAACAATATGGCATCTAAATGAAAACCACTGAAGAATGCATCTCTAAGGGCTTGCATGTTGCAGGGGTCTTCAACACCAAAACCCCCGACCTCCGCCACAGACTTTCTGCGCTTGGCGGCTTCCCCTGGGCGAAGTCAGCCGCCCAAAGGGGTGGTTGTTGGACAAAAAGAAGCTACTAGGAGCAAAGGGCATCGCTACGAACGGAGCGATCGGACGCTACGAACGGGGCTCCTGGCCGTACTACTAGAAGCAAGAAGCTATTAGTAACAAGAAGCTACTAGTTTCACCCTACATTTGACACCTGTGCTTTAAGAACGTGGCACAGACACCTCGTGAGGAATGTCGACGGGGGAAGCCGATCTAACCCGGCCAGCCGCCAGCCAGCATCATAGGATGAGACAGGCCGAAAGCATATAACATGATGAACACAAGGATTGAAAGAACACGGGAAATTACATATTTGTTGCCTTCAGTTGGAAGGCCAGCAACACATTTTCCCGCCATTGTCCTGCCAATTCAATCAACTCTGTCTTAAGGCATGTCTCACATCCAAGACCTAAACTAGATGGCCCCGACGGCACAAGTAAGTAACATTGGCATAGCATCTATGAGTACCCGGTAGGCCCTGGAGAAAATCGGCCACTTGTGGGCTGCTATGTGAGTTGTAGTTGGCTGCGCGTGTATATAGGTGTGATAAGAATTCGGTTACATACTCTATGTCTATGCAATATAAGTGATATTCAAGGGGGGGTTCCGCATATGTGATATGGCCTCTATTATCCTCTATTGAAGACTGCCAATATGCCCAACACAGTGCCAACCTGCTGAGAGCGACCCGGCCCTCCGAGCCTGCCGGTGAAGGCCCCGCATCCGCATCGGCCTGTGACATTCGGTAGGCTGACCATCTGGTCAGCATGTCCTGTGTTTGGTCCATATAGCAAGCACAAAGCATATCACTGAACCAGCAACTTCGAACAAGTCTGCATCAGTGTGGCAACCGACGGCCAGTCCCATTTTGCAAGGGCTGCCTCTGCAGAAGCCGCGGGCTCAGGCACCTCATCCGGCAAATATGGGCAAATCTTTCCCTACGTGAACGATATCACAAAGACATGATCTACATTTTGTGGACCACCGGTCCATGTTCAACACATTGACGGATCCTGGCACACCATGGTACGACAACACAACGACATGTCCGTCGCGTTTACGGACGGATGGGACTGGGGACTATTGATCTGAATCCGATCAAGTCCCAAGTGCCTATTTCAAAAACACGACCCAAGTTTAAAAACAACATATATAATTATATATATACCAGCACCTTCCAACAGGTTGTTTGGAGACCCTAACAGGTGGTTTCTGGGCACCTGTTGTCACCAGGAAGCACCTGTTGGAGGGTGCTGGTATATATGTATTATATGATCTGTCGGACAACCATGGACCACCCTCAATAGTGTGAAGATGTTTGAAGATCTTCACTGAAGCACCAATGTCCTGCTTGAGAGCAATCTGACGAAGGGGGGCAGCTATACATTAAAAAACCTCCCCGCCTCTGCAGGAGACTTCTTCCGCTTGGCAGCTTCGTTGATGGCGCCACTGGCGGGGCCACAGTGGCCTGCGGTGGAGAGCAAAAAAACTACACATTTGACAGGCACACCTCCCTAACAAAGCCACTGCTCGCATCACGCAATGCCACCAAGGCACGTTCATGCATTACAAGGCCTCCTTTGTTTCCAATCTTCGTGGAACAATAGCGACAAATAAACCTGGGCCGTTGCCAACGCAACAGAAGTAGGTAAATAGATGTGATTCCAAATCAACGCCAAAGTGCTCAATACCAATCTGGCATATGTAATGAAACGCCAAGCTTTTGTGTTGTTTCTCAGGCTTTCACTCCGGGGATGGAATTCCTTCCTGTGGCACTTCCATCGAGTCGGCCGTTCCGCGCCGCCCGTTCCACACAAGTCGTTCCGCAACGAGTCGTTCCAACTCCCAGATGTGTTAGGGCTGATGTGAGGCAAGCTGAACGAACACAATGTACTTGATTTGATGTGTGAATGGTTTCCCGGCGGACTCCAGCTCAGTCATCGAGCCCAAGGAGGCGGCACAGGTTGATCAACGGGCCACCCTTCTTGCAGATCAAGAGGGCAAATCCGGTCACCAGGTCCTACTTTCGCAGACCGTGCTCCGTGTCCGAAACCTTTGGCGTTGGTGCGCGCAGCTTTGACAAAGCATGGAATAACCAAAAAATAATCAATTAGGGGACCGCTGCAATTGACGGAATGATCATCATGTGGTGGTGGCTGTGAGTACTTGGGTGCAAATCAGTTGACCCTGACAAAATGCCGATTTAAACCTCCATGAAGGCCATGTCATGGCATATGCACTTCCTCTATATAGCCCAATCGTAGAAAGTCTGAAGGCATAGACAAACATATAGATAAATGAACTATCAAACGACCGCTGATTTCTTTACAGCTGTCTGATCCCCAAGAAGACCTCTTGACTTTTGAGGCTCAATTTTATCTCCTCTCCTTCTGTGCCCGAAGGATGTCGGCTCAAACCGGGTGCAAGTCGTAGCCAGAACGGCTCAAAAGGCTGGTGGAGACCAAAATCAAGCTCAAACAAGCTCAGAGGGCCTCACAGCTCTGACTAGACATGAGCTAGACTGGCCATCTCCTGAGGCATGCTGCGCAAATCGATCGAACAGTCAATCCTTTGCTATAAATTGATATTGGGTTTTCATTGGTGTTCTTTATTGAATCCGATGGAACGTCTGGTGAACAAGTTGAATTGAGATTGAGAGGCCCCCCTTCAATCTCCACAGCCTTCCAGTGCTTGCTCTCCGAGCTTCCACTGTGACATTGTTCCCGCGGCAGATGACATTGTCTCGAGGCCGCCACTGCGGGTACACCATATACGACATGGTTGAGGGTGAATAGTCGGTCCGTCGGTCCAAATGTGTTTTCTAAGTAACCCAAACAGGAGGACCGCGATCTCTAACTGGGATGATGTTGTATGACCCCCAGCCATACATCGGCCCACTGCAACCAAGGCCTTACACCGTTGTTCATCATGGAATCATCCTAAAGTTGTTTCAAAGCCTTTATTGGATCTGTGATGATCTATGTCAAAGTGGCAATGTGGGTCTTATATCTTCAACATCTCCGGGTAGGCCCAAGGAATTCGGGTCGGGTGCCCGAATGGCCACTTGACCTGCAAGGTTGGGCCGGCAAAGGCTTCTAGCTTTCTATTCCGCGGATGTCTTCCAATGGGGTGGCACCAGAATTCACAAAATGCACTATACAGTATATATACACCCTGTCCACACATACAAATGCTAACATCTCCTACAATTAGAATAGGGAAAATAATCTTTTGCCATGAGACCTCTTGTGAGCTCCAGTCCCCTATTACAAGACGCCCTCATGGCCAAAGTGCTTTATTTAGCACTTGCCAGCGGCCAATTTGAGTCTTCACAATAGACAGGCTCTTTGCGGCGATCTTCACCGGAGTGCGTCGGGCATCGTTCTGGCCCTTTCGGAAAATCATCTTTGGCGCAAGTCTGCGAGGTTAGCAAGAGATAACTGTTCGTCGAGGATGTTGAAAAATAATGGTCCCTCTTGGTTCTGGCCACAATGGCCCGGTTTGCTTCCGAAACGTGTTTTTTCTGTTGTGGACCGCCCCCCGCATGGTCACGCGATCCATCAGCCCGCAGCAACCCCAACAGCTGGTGGGATTGTTGGAATGGGCTCCGGGAGCAAATTCCTCGAAGCCAAGCTTGGCCTGAAAAGCATCATAATGACAAAGCAATCTCAATGGTCATCATGTGATGTTGCGCATGGGTAGCAATGGACAACGGTTGTTGTGGTAATTATGCGGTACTGTCAGGGTGGGGGTAGGCATAATGGCATGTCATGGTTGCAGGTCACGGTATCAAACTGATCTACAGGAACTTAGTAATTAGGGCCACGAGGATGGCTGGATTCTAGGGTGTCCAAGTTGGTGGGATTCCATGCGTTCCTTACATTCCCATACGTTCCCTTTCGTCGCACCAGAATCCTTCGGACAAGCTTCCGATCCGCTGATCGCTGTTCTAAGCTGCCGGCAGCTGATAGAGCTCTCGGATCCGAATGTCGGCCTCGCGCCGACGGCGTTTCGGTTTCGGCCCGGTGAGACTGGTGGCCATGGAGATCCACCGGTGCAGGTCCTCCTCTTTTTCTGAACAATCTGAACGGATTGAAGAGATCAAGGGCGTCAAGGGCGAGAGCCCTAGTGTCTTTCTCCATGGCTCAACTGAGAGAAGAATGGAGCTTGCACAACACGCTCCAAGTCCAAAGGGTCGTGCTCCAGCTGCCCAAGCTTCGCCTCGGGCACCTCCGCGGATTTCAGCACCATGCTGTAGGGCCCGACCTGAGACAAGCGGAAGGGACCTCACACTCTCCTGGAATGTATGCGTCACTCCAAATATATCAAGCATTCTCAAGTATCAAATGACTCCAACATCAGGAACAAAGCATTCTTCACGTTTAAACTGTTTAAATCTGTTTAACGTTTTCATCACTGCATGGCATATTCAATTCTTGGTGAATAAGCAGGCAAGTTTGGGAAACACAAAGGACATCATAGAGTCATAGAATCCCCTTCGTGTTGGGTTTCCCTGCTGCCTATCTCCCTGACTACTCCAACCAACTTTGCGTTCGCCAAAGCACTGCCATACGGAAATCCATCTCCACAAATTCTTCGTCACGAGCCTGCCACATGGGATCGTGCACAGCTGCAAATTATGAGCACCGCAATCCCCACCACCGTCATCACCCCCAGCAGCAGCAGCAGCAGCAGCACAAATGCCACCGATGACGACGACGACTTCGATGGCCACAACAACGACCATGATAACTGCGGGGCCAACCACCACATCAGCAGCGAATGCACTGCGCACAGCTCAACAATCCCAAGCAACAACCCCAAAACCCTGAAAAGAAACGGTCACGACAACCACTGGGGCCCCTCCGGCTCGAAATTGCACCTGGTGACCACTAACTTGTCGCCTTCCATCTATTTGGGCCCGGGTCCCACTTGCAAACGCAAAATTACTCAAGCATAGACCCCAGATAGCAAAAGCATGCAAATGATTTTTCTGGGCTGCACCCAATTTTTACATGCAATACAGCGCGGCGTGTCTCCACTACGCGCACAGCCAGCGCCAGCACCCGGCGCCAGCACCCAATCTGCACCACGCACACAACCAGCAACCCGGCGGCACCCTGTGTCCGCCACAGCACCAGCACCCAGCACCGGCACCCTGTTGGCACCACGCGCACAGCCAGCTCACAGTCCACCAGCAACGGCGCCCAGCACTGGCACCCTGTCGCCACCACGACGCGCACAGTAGGGAATAACAACGTATGATCTTGCGCGAAAAAGATTATGCGCACAAAAGTATGCGCGCAAGCAGCAAAGCCCGTAAGTGTCATTGGCCCAAGGCCAAGCAGTATCCAGCGCCACTATTGATTTTGTAGCATGCTTGAAGCAACGATCTGTAGAACGATACGGCCAGTATGATCTTGCGCGTACAAGTTTACGCGCGCAAAAGTATGCGCACAAACGGCAAAGCGTAGGCCTCACTTGCCCAAGGCCAAGCAATATCCAGCACTGTAGCATGCTGAAACATGCTGAAACAATGGTCGGTTGAGAGCCTGACGTTGCGCATACAACATTATACGTACAAAAGTATGCGCGCAAACAGTACAGCCCTTGACACAGCTGTCGGCCAAAACAAACCTCAAGAGGGTAAATACCCCACAGCGCTAATAGACAAAGAATGCTCAAGCGACAACACCGTATGATGTTGCGCGCATACAGCCAGCTCACAGCACCAGCACCAGGACCGGCACCCAGCACCCACCCAGCACCGGCACCATGTCTCCACCACCTGCGCAGCCAGCTCACAGCACGCACCCAGCACCCTGTCTCCACCACTGCGCACAGCCAGCCAGCCAGCACCCAGCACCGACACGCGCACGGCCAGCAGCACCGACACCCTGTCTCCACCACGTGCGCGCACCCGCCCCGGCACCCTGTCTCCATGCACCACGCGCACACCCAGCACCGGGACCCAAAGCACCAGCAACCTGTCTCCACCACGTGCGCAGCCAGCTCACAGCACCAGCACCCGGCACCACCAGCGGCACCCGGCACCCGGCACCAGCGCCGGCACCAGCAACCTGTTTCCACTACGCGCACAGCCAGCTCACAGCACCGGCACCCAGCACCAGCACCAGCAACATGTCTCCACCACGTGCACAGCCAGCTCACAGCACCAGCACCCGGCACCACCAGCGGCACCCGGCACCCAGCACCAGCGCCGGCACCAGCAACATGTCTCCACCACGTGCACAGCCAGCTCACAGCACCAGCACCCGGCACCACCAGTGGCACTCGGCACCCAGCACCAGCGCCGGCACCAGCAACCTGTTTCCACCACGTACACAGCCAGCTCACAGCACCAGCACCATCAACTTGTCTCCACTACGCGCACAGCCAGCTGACAGCACCAGCACCAGCACCGGCACCCGGCACCCAGCACCAGCAACCTGTCTCCACCACGTGCACAGCCAGCTCAGCACCAGCACCGGCACCCGGCACCAGCAACCTGTCTCGAAAGCGTGCACGGGCAACTCATTGTTATTTGAAGTAAGAACCCCATAGCTTCGCCATCTGGGGAAAAGCACCTCACTTGCGCACGCAAGCTTGACAGTCGAACACGCCTATTGAGTTGAGAAGGGCGCATGCAAAAGTTAACCCACTCGCCCACGCATCACTCACTAGCACACGCGACTCACTGGCGCACACAGGCACGTTGCTGCATTGGAGCGGCACCTTCCTCTAAATTTTGCCCTCGGGTGGCTCACAAAAGGTCTGCTCTTGGAATGGCGCCTTCCTCCTCTGAATTGTGCAATCGAGTCACAAAAAAGTTTGCT